GTTTGATAACTCGACGGTCAACACACGTCGATGGGATTGATTGATTGAATATTTCCACTCCCACACGCTTCAAACCCTTCTTAACTCCAAATCCCTAAGTAGTCCGTCCCTGCACAAGCCACTCAATTCCGCCAAAAATGCTCACGGCACTTTTTTTTTTTTTGTTTTTTTTTGTGTTTTGAGCGATCAAACGGAGTCTCTGCCTACCTTCGATCATAGAACCCAATACCAGAGTTAAAAAATAAAAAATCAAACTATTCGATATTTGAATGAGACAAAATGCATAAGAGCTCATTTGAATTTGATTTGCTAACTAATCAAATCAAACTTGAACAAAATAATCCAATTTCTACTTGATCTCAACTCGATAAAAACTGGTACGGTCTCGGCTCAAAATATAAACAAGTCAAATTTAAATATAATTTTAAATTTATTCAAATAATTAAATAAACTTGAACACATGAATGTTTTGACTTGTTTAAATTCGTTTATACTCCTGCCCCAAATGCACAAGCCCACCATACCACATCGAGATGATGATACTACTATTAGGAGTCGCAATTGAGACCTTTGAGCCAACACCCGAGTGCCAAGCTAGAGGATCCAGAGGAGCCTATAAAGAGGCGAGCGGATTTAGGGCTTGCACCGTTGTTAGTGATCAGCTATGGTCACACCATGCAACATAGACTCTTAACACAGCGACAAATGTAGATATTAAATTAACCAATTCAGACACCAAAATAACAAGATGCAAAAAGACAAATACTTTTGCCATTGTTGAAATTTGTACCTACAAATTCAATCCCAATTATTCCATTTTAAAATAGAATTCACTTACAAAAAATGACTTTAATAACCCAATATATTTAAACAATAGACACAAATATAAAGAATTCCTAAAAGTCAGTAGGCACTTCATCTTTTAGTTTACGTATAAATTGGTATTTCACTTAATTTCTTTAAAATATTCATCTTATACACTACTAGTAGTAGTAAGTGTGTTTGGATTGTAAATTATTACACTTTATTTACACACACTAACTTGTTTGCATCATCAACACATTTTTCAATCACCTTTTTATCTCACATACATCCTATTAAAAAAGCGTTATAATAGTGTATCCTTTTTTTATAAAATTGTCTCAAATAACTTACAATCCAAACACACAATCCTAATTCGCAAAGTTACACGTAAACACGTTTCTCCAGTCACGCACACAAAAACATTTTCCATGTTAGTGGCTTATCAACCATAGGTGCAGCCCTGGACAGGAGCGGTCAGAGAATGAAATCTCGGGCCTGCCGTTGTTTCCACTTAGTTGTCATGGGGAGCGACCATTGACATTGAGCAGTTGCAGGCGAACCGTGTGACGGTACAGAGAGTCTGCCAACCTCAATTGCTCATTTTCAACCCTCATGCTTTAAAAGACAGCTCATCGTCAGTACATACCATTTGACGTAACTCTGGCATGACCACGACTTCAGTCAAACAATAAAGAACGGATCATTCCTTTGAGAAGAAGAGGCAACAAAGGGTTGAATAAAGATTTCAAATAATTTTCCACAAGGTTTTGCAATTTCCGTGGTATTGACAAAAAGATTTCAAAACAGAGCACTATATTTGGACTTTGCTTTCTAATTCTGAATGAGGGCCACGGGAAGCAAGCAAACAGTACATGAGAAAGAATTGAACGTGACTGAAGTTAACAAGAGGTACATGAGAAACAGTACATGAGGTACGAGAAAGAATCGGTCGGTGGGACAAAAAAGTAAAGTGATAATTTTCTCTAAGGACTGACAGCTTCATCTAAGCAGTGATCTTGTCAAATGCTCGCGTGCTGTGGCCAGAGCTTGAGAAATGGTCTGCATTTGGAAAACGTTGAAGCGGCGGGTCAGCACAAAGGAAATAAAACCTCAGTAAGAATAATCTCCTAAAGTGTTAGTACTAATTTTACCAAAAGACTAAAGGTACTGGACAACACATGTTTATTCACATCACACACGCACAAGATAATACCATAACCATAGCTAATTGACGTTTGAGTAACGACCCAGATGCGATCTCCAGTCTTTGGATGCATTTGCAGGTAATATTGGAAATGAGATTTGAGAAATTTTTTTTTTCTTAAAGGTGAAATATAAGCAAATTAAACCTTTATTAATCTTTCTCAAGCAAATTAAAATCTTTATTATATATGTCAACCACACGTATATGCCTCTTTAAAATATCCAGTGATAAGTAATAGCAAGTTATGATAGAGAAAGTAAGAGAACGAAATTACCTGCTCGGACAATGGTGAACCATCATCCATAGTATGGGTGGCTACCTTTCCAGCAATTATACTGCCATCAGTCTCAAGAACGATCCTGACAATCAAAAGAAAGAGGTAAACAAACCACAAGTCATGCATTCGAGCGACTTAGCATGCGTGACATGTTCAAAAAGTAGCATAACAGAAGATCCATTCAGAAATTGGACACGCAATGTAGGAACTCCCAACCATTTGATATGAAGACTTCATAACAATATAAATCTAAGACGAAAAGATGATTTTTAGTACATAACAGCAAGATGTAGTCCACACAATAAACAAGTGCAAGCCCATTGAGAAATTGTTCTAAAGCTTCCATTGGATGTGAAGAATTTTTCAGTTTCACCTTTGACAGAGGAATAAGGCTTCCTAGCATCCCAGTTCCAATCTACTTCAAGGGGAAAGTGTATCTGTCAACAGCTCCCCGAAATTTGGGGTCCGGCATGTCAAAGGTGAGAATAAATGACATGAAAATGGTGAAGCTTTAGCATTTGGCATCGTGAAAGCAGTTTGCAAATGCAATACCCCATTGATCTTAACCCACTCTTCATGAATAGCTCGAATGATAATTGGCAAAAACAATACTGTTAAGCGCAGACATTATTTAGAATTAATTCACATAGAAAATTATTTAAAGGATGGTTAACTCCACTAACTGTTGGTCAGAATCCTATTAGATAAAACACCAATTTGCAAAATTTACTAAGCAAACAATCAATCAACTGACTGCATGAAAGATTGAAGCATCGATCCCTCAAAAAAAAAGAAGATTGAAGAGAACAATATCACATACAAAGCTTAAAATTACACATCAAAACGACAAACTGGAAGTTCTATTAAGAGACAGGCTTCTATCTCTATCATCAACCCCAACCTCCTTAAGACTTGGGAAGTAATCCATGAGAATAAAAGAATTTTCAATACAAGGTTTGAGGCAAAGCTACACACTGGCAGTATATGTCATAGCAGAAGCAAATAGCTTACCCCCCATCAACAATCTCGTCAAGGCACAGCAGAATCAGATCTAAGTTCTCAAGTGCCTCCCTTTGGTCCACATTGTTCCTGAAACAAAGCATGCTTGATTAACTAAAAGAAAGACAATACCTTCAAGGCAGCATTGGTCCAGTTAAATCCAAAAGGAAGCCTACATATTCAAAGTGCAATACCTGAGAAGCAAGGCAACAGCATCGTAAAAACCTTGGAGAACAGTAGCTAATATCAGCTCGTTTTCCTCATCACCTCCAGTCACAAAGAAGTGTAGATCTTGAACAAACTTGTACACAACAATGTTGCTCTCCAGCATTGCTATCTCCGCTGGAGATCAAAACAACAAAAGAGATTACAATTTTTCCCCTAGGGAGAAAAGGCGGGGGGCTCAAGAGGAGAGTGCCCAGAGGCAACCCGAATGGCCCCGTCGCTCACTAGTGGATTCATCAGGCCGACAGTAGCACCTGTGATCCCTCTCCAGAATCAGCCTAAATCACATGAATGCGCAGAGTATTCTATCCTAAAACACGTTGAGACCGACTTATCAGCACTGATCTCTTAGAATTCACAAAAGCCCACATTTGCACTCCCTTAAAGCAGGAAATGTAAATAGACGTTCCTAAATCCGAATCAGTCCCATGATTCTTTCAGGCTAATTCCACTTCCAGTAAACAATATAAGAGCATAGTTTATCGAATTTCCCTGACGACGAATAAACGTTGGACCCTTTAAAGATATATTGATAGAAAATCGATTCCTATTAAAAAATGAACTACATGGGATTCCTGGAGAAGCAAGGTTACCTTCAGTGCGGGCATTTGTCTTCTGAGTTTTTGTGAAGATAGACTTCTCAAAAGCTAACTTTGCAGCGTTTGTAGGCCAATCATCACAAAAGTACTTAACCGCCACCCGCTTTCCTTCAGAATCCAATAAGAGGATGTTCTTTATGGTAGGGCAAGCCTCCTACAAAAAATTCCAGGATTACCACCCACAATTCAAAAAGCAAATGCAGTACAGATATTAGTGCTTTACTTATGAGCCAAGAGTGAGAAATGGGAAATATGAATAGATCGGGGGAAAGCAGTTCGACGAAATGCCAGACAGACATCATCGGATCTAAATCTGCGTCATGATTAAGAAAAGAAACCTTTCACTTACGCGAGAGATGGAGAAGGCAGACATGGTTTTTTGAGCTGGAATGTGATTTCTGACGGAGTGTATATCCCGTCGGAAAGTTGATCGGGGATCGGCGTCTTCAGGCGGGTGGGCCTTTTTTTTTTTCGGTTTGGGGGACCGGTGGTTTTGTTTTAAGTAGCTCTTTGCGGCGTTGGTGGTGGTGATATATGGGCTCTCATTCTTCTGGAAAGAAACTTAGCACAAAGCTATGGGCTATAACTTCATGAAGTTCAATGCTGTGGGCCTAAAATCAGCCCAATCAGTCATCACTTCTAATAAAACCTGGAAGTAGTAACTTGCATGCTTGCTGACGACGAGAGTCGAGAATTACTACTACTTGTTATTAAGCTTTATTTATAGGGAATTTTTTTTTTTTTTTTTTGGTGTGAGATAAGGCGGATGTTGATAAGTGCCAGACGGGGCAATTAAAGGTCTGTGACGATATTATAGTGCATGTCAACAAACTTTCCAGCAGCTTGTATTCATTACCACTACAAAGCCCATGCAAAGAGCCAAATTCATTTTCCAGCTATTTGTTAGGCGTTGAAAAATTTACTTGGATTTATTGGGATCTTGAGAGTTCGTTCTATTAGATCTAACTGCTTGGATCTTGATGGTCATATGCCCATGCTAGAGCTGTGTCAATGAGAAAAGCTTTATGTGATTTAAACCAAATGAGAAGTTGAAAAACCACCAGTACCGAGTTTATCCAAATAAGATTATTGATTCTTCAGAGTGGTGGTTACATTATGGAATGAAGCTTGCATCCAGTTTCTCTTCAGCATATCAGCTGCAAGTGGGGCTATATGTGTCTATGGAGTGTAGAAGGTAGGGCCGCACTTGCACTTCCAGCCCTCAGGTTCATAGTTTGCATACTGCACTCCCACCCGGCCGTGGGTGGTTGGCACCTGAATGGCTTCACATGGCATGCATCCAAAGCACTTGTGGTCGCAGCTTGGTGGACTTGATCCTATTCTTCTGCTAACTTCTTCCTTCTCTTCTCCTCCTCCTCCTCCTCCTCCTCCGTTCTTTACTTCCTCTCCTACTCCGCCGGGTGGGAGAGGGACCTTGTCCACCAAGCTCACGCTTTTGTTCAAAGACGGGGGACTCTGCTCTGTCCCTGAGGACCCTGACCACAAAAAAAAAAAAAAAGTGTCAACAAATCAGAGCACCCAAAAACGCAGAGTTGACGCACGAAAATGCTGCACTGGAAAGAAGTCACAAGGTAGAGAGAGCCCTGAAAGAAGGAATTCACCTGAGTGAAAAGCATGGCCACCATTTGGCACGAGGGGCCTGCAGCTGGTTATGCAAACCAAATTTAGCATGTGCATGATTGAGATAAAAAGCAAGAATTGACAGCCCCTCATTTCTTCAAGCAAGTTGAATGATCAGTGTGTGATGATGATAATGAGGCAACCTCAAAGTTTAAAACTTAAAAGACGAGAAGGAAAACGACAACGGTGGAATGAATGATTTGGGGATGGGAAGGATTACAGTCACTGCGGGGCCTTATGCATGATTGCAAGATAGTAGTATATAAAGAGGGAAGAAAAGGGCAAGACTTGCTGCCCGTTTGCCTATACACCATTGGTATGCTGGCACCACATACATCTCAGAAATTTCTCGGACTTCACTCAGCCATTTGATTTGAGTTGCATCGATAGATTTTGCTTATCAAACAAGGGATTCTCTTATATCTGCCAGAAAAAGTGTACAAAGAACCATATGGTTAACTCTGCTTCCCTCAATTGACAAGTCAATAGCTCTTGTCCTTACGACTATTTTGTTTCTCGATTGCTCCTCCTCTCATCTACACTCTACAGCTGCTTCTGTCTTTGGATACAAGCAAACTTTTCTCTCCCAATCTATCTCTGAGTCAGATGTGGGGTCCCTTCAGGCTAGATCTGCTTTAACATTTTTTGGGATTCAGAAACTCGTACTACTAGGCTGCAGAGTCTTCTTATTTTCTCCCTGATGGCTTTCCGTAAGTGGAAGAAAAGAAATCCAGGCACAGATCCTATAACTTGCTAGTTGTAAGTCACTCTGATCTGTTGAGTATCAATGTCCGAGACATTAAATCATTCACCTGCTGCTTCTCACAACCTGGACCATCTACCTCTACCTGCCTTTCATGTTGATCTATGAGATATGAAACTTTTTCAAATGCGTCCCGAGTATTTCTCTATTGTGCGACTTCCTGCATGGTGCAAACAATCTATTTCCTCTGTTCCTGCAAGGACGAGAACAAAAACTAAAAATGGCTCATAAGCGGAAAAATGGCCAATTTCATCCCTAAACTCTTTTTTGTTATAGTGTCAATTTAATTCCTAATTTTTATTTCTAATCAATTTGATACGTAAACCTATTTTGCGATACCAATTAAAAACTTTCGTGACAGCGGCACCACCTAAAATTGATTTAACTACTAATTGACCAACTAAAAAGTCACGAGATTAAATTTTAAAAAAGCCTTGTCTAAGTGATTCTTCAAACGATTTAAAACTTTTATCTAGTGATTTTTTATATGATTTATTTCATTTATTATAACCCCATGAATGATATTTTCAATATACTCCCATTTAATTACTCAACTAAGAGTTAAATCAGTTTTAAGTGGTGGTGCTGTCACAAAGGTTCTTAATTGGAACCGCAAAATAGGTTCACGTATCAAATTTATTAGGAATAAAAGTTAAGGACCAAATTGATGCTAATGCAAAAGTTTAGGAACGAAGAAATTGGCCATTTTCCTCTCATAAGTTGAAACTCTACCGTTACCCGTGCATCAAGGGTCAGTCTAATTTATAAAGGGAAATTTGCCAAATTGATCTCTAACATTTTCACAAAATTTTTTTTTAGTTTTTAACATTTAAAATTAACCAGAATAGTCCCTAACATATAAATTATGAGCCAGTTTGGTCATAATACTCGTATTTGCTCATTTTTTCGACTAAAAATAGCACACCTCTCTCACATGGATATAATTTTAAGGGCAAAATCGGAAGACATTCGTTAATCCATGGTTTTAGACTCTTAAAGAAAGAGAATATTCTCTTCAAAGCTCAAGTTCTCAATGGCTACTCTTCCATAACTCCACCCACTCCTCTTAGAGTCAATCTTGAGTCATTTTCCCTGCACCTACTCCATCAGATGCATTCCACCATCACCACTAATCCAAAGCATGATGATCTCAAGAGAACCAGAAAACTTGAAGTTTGAAGAAGGTGAAATTTTGCATTTTGCAATCCTTCATGAAATCCCAAATTGTTGAATCCTTCAGAAGCTGCGATTGTCCATCCTAGCATTCTCCATACTGTTCTTTCCATCGTTGATGACATCCCATCCTACCGCAAGATTTTTATCAAAAGTCTATGGTTTTGTTACTTTCAAGAATGTTAAGTCTTTCTTGCTTGGCTTAGAAAACCCCAGCAATAAAATTGATGGATTTGTCAGCAATAAAATTGGTGGAGAATGTGCCAACCAACTGAGATGAGTTCTGAGACTTTGTTGAATTATTTTGAGAGGTATGGTGAAATTGAAGAAGGGCTTGGGGGTTTGATATGGGGACAGGGAAATCAAGGAAAGTGCAAAAGCTGCTTTGACTGAGAAGGTGAATTCTGCCTTGTTTGGATTGTTTGTTTCCGTCGCAAAATATTATCGTTTTCCGTGATCACATTTCCCTATCATCCTTTTCCCTCACATATATCAAATTGTTACAGTAATTTTTCCATGAAAAATGACGGAAAATGCAATCCAAACACAATATTTATTTGTTGATGGTTTCCGGCTAGTTTGCAAAATGGTGTCGAGGGAAAAAGAGAAAAGTAATAGGAATCCAAAGGGGATTTTGCCTGTAAAATCATGGATTAACGAATGTTTTCCGATTTTGCTCTTCAAATTATGCTCATGTGAGAAAGGTGTGCTGTTTTTAGTCGGAGAAATGAGCAAATACGAGCATTATGACCAAATTGGCTCATAATTTATTTGTTAGGGACTATTCTGGCTGATTTTAAATGTTAGGGACTAAAAAAGGTTTTTTGTGAAAATGTTAGAGATCAATTTGACAAATTTCCCATTTATAAAATGCTGCTCAAATACTTGTGTAGTCTCTGACTCTCATTACTACTTCAAAATTTTGTATTCTTGGCGTCGTATATCTTGTACTGTGGCACTTTCGAATACAGGCGGGGGGTAGTATGTCTACATCTGATACACTGGGGACCGACCTTTGTTTGTCCACTAACACAATTTTCAACCTAGAGGTTTAATCGTAGCTCATTAGATCCTTTAGATCAAGAACAAAGCAACCCTTTTTCTTATCCTGGGTAAAGAAGAGCACCTGATATCATCAGCATTGAATTTCCAGTTTGTTTTTGAGGTGGAAATCGAGAAGTGAATGATAACCCCAGCTATCTAGCTTCTTGAGAGGTGTGGTACTCATTGAAAAGAAGCATTTACTATTATATGAGCATGAGGAGCCAATTATTTCATACTTATAAAGGCTTCTTGAGGTATGTAATGCAACTGCAAAACCGAAGCGGAGAAGAAAGCTTCAAGAAAAGGAAAGCTGATTGCACCATTCAATGCTCTCTCATCAGACACTTTTTAGTATGCTAATTACTGAGCCACTGATGACTAGCTGCTACATAAGTCGAGATAGCTGGCGATAGACTCTTGTACTCGCACTCAACCCGCTATCAGTCATTGGTGAACTGTTACCTAGTAAAAGAATAATTTTGGTGGGTAATGCAGCGCGAGTTGATAAAGATTAACTGCACCTGATATGCGTTCCAAGTCCCCCTCCCTCCCCCCCTCTCTCTCTCTCTTTTTTCATACTTTTTAATTTTGTATCCTACAATCCTAGGATGGTTGCAACAGAAATGATGCTTTAACAGTAGCCAGGATTTTAATCTTTGTGAGAGGGTCTTCCAGAATTGCTAAACCAACTCGCTAACTCAGCCTGTCTTGCATTGAGCGGGATGAGTTACATTACTCTAGAGTCTGCACGATTTGGTTTAGCAATCTTTGCGAAAACTGGTAATCCCTGGTGATCTGATGATTTGATCGCTCACTGAAAAGCCCCCGAAGAAAGTAGTCCTTCACTTCCACTATACTCTGCATCTCCTTAGCTTCAACCATTACTCACAGAGCACCAAAAAGCCCCCGAAGAAAATAGTCCTTCGCTTCCATTTCTTATGCAATGCTTTTTGTTTCTTCGGCTTTTGACCTGCCACCCCCTTTGCTTTTTGTCCACCTAATATGCTTTTTGTTTGGAATAATTACTGTAACACTTTTTGTGATGTGATATATATGAAATAAAAAGGTGATTGAAAATATAAAAAAGTATATTGAAAAATGTATTTATGATGCAAGCGAAATTTTTTTTAAAAAAAATTTGCTATCCAAGCAAGCCAATTAATACTCGAAGAGAAGATGTCTAACCGAAACTTACAGGTTTTTTTTTTTTTTTAGATAAAGTACCTTTTATCCCCTAGTTTAGTGTTTTATCACATAACTCCTTATGATTTAAAAATCTATTTATAGTTTGAATTAAAACGTCACCGTTAGTTTTTATTTTAAAATTAACGTTCAATAATAAAAAGTCAAAATTAATTTAATAAATTGACAAATATACCCTTTCATTACCTACTTTTTCTTCCTATTAACATAAAAAAGAAGAAATAAAAATAAAAATAGATAAATAAGAACCGAAAAATACTATTAAAGATTTAATTTAAAAACCTATGATGATATTTGTAGTCAAAAAAGATTTTGTATTTTTGGTTTCTTATTTATTTGTTTTATATTTTCCTTCCATCTTTTTTTGTTTCTTATTCATTTATTTTTTATTTCCCTTCCCTCTATTTTGTATTTGGAGAAAATTAAGATTTTGTAGACTAAAGTTTAGGTTTTTAAAATCATCTCCTCTTCTATTCTCTTCTGAAAAAAAAAAAAGAAAATAGAGAAAGTAATGGAAAAAAGAAAAAAAAGTAGTGCAAGGATAAATTTATTAGTTTCATTTTTACTTTTTACTATTGACCGTTAATTTTAACGAAAAAACTAACTATCACACTTTAACCCAAACATGAAAGAGTTATATATAAGTTTTTAAACCATAAAGAGGTTACGTGATAAAGAACTAAATCAGAAGGAGGTAAAAGGTAATTTAACCTTTTTTTTTCTGAAGCAATAAGAATTGAAGAAGAGGAGAAAATATTGGAAAGTAGACTACTTAGAAAATGGAAAGAATGTTTTGAACTTCTGATTCTTGAAGGGATAGGCTGATAAGGGTATTTCAAAGTTCAAAGCCTTCTTTTTTTTTTTAAAAAAAAAGGTTCATAACCTTCCTCTAGTGGACGCTAGTTTGCATCCTTTACTTTCCAGACTTCGGCACCCCATTTTACGCCAATAAATGTCTTGAGCGACTCAAAGATGACGCCTGTGATCCTGTTGGGTCACTCCCTCAAATGTCAGTTCGTAACCTTGTTGGGTCATTCCCTTAGTATAGGTTAAAAGTAGAAATAGCAATAAGTGTAGATAATCACAATAGACGAAAAAAAAATTCAGTAGCCCGTGACTATGACCCTGTTGAGTCACTCCCTTGGTATAGGTTACACTAAGAATAAAAGTAGATGCAAATGATAGCAATAGACGGAAAAAAAAAAGACTCAAATATGATGTCTCCAGATAATAGAGGTTTTTTCTACGCAAGAACACGCATCTCTCATGCACCTATAGGGCAAGATTTGTAAAACATCTCTGAATCAGCCAGGATATCAAAGGCTAAAATCACATTGTTCAAGGGAAATCCCCCGGAATACCTTCCCTCTTTATTCACGGTTTCATTTCATCAGAGCACCTCAGGAACAGAGACCGGCCCCCAAATCTAAAGGTAATCAAACCAATCCTGCAAAGTCGTAGCATCCAATAAATGCAAGTCCAACAAGGAACAAAACAGCTCCAATAAGCAAAGCACATTTTCCCCTAAGAAGGTTACTCCGCTCGGATCAGACACAACGGCAGTAACAAAAAGCAAACAGATGTAAACATGAGATTTTCCTTCAACGTGTGCGTAAATTGAAATTTGTTATTTAGCTACTTCACAGGACAACCAAAGAAGTCCTTGCAGGAAAGCCCAACAGGCTCAAATGCTGCATTCAACACCATGACTCCCACAACTTTAAAGTTGGATTCGAAGTGGGATTACAACAAGCTTCAACAAAAACTGTGAGGAGTAGGAAGCCTCTTCTTCTTAGAATCACGAAAAGAAAGAAGTAAGGCAGAATTGTTACAGCAGTATAAGACAATAATTGGTCGCATTTCTTCACTTCATTGCAGACTGAATAAATTCATAAAGCTGACACCTAGCAAACATCTGTCAAGAGAATCGTATCCAAATAGATGTATCTTCAACAATCCAGAGCACAAGAAACTGGCTAATGTAAACTTTGCTGCATAGTCTTGGATTATATGCGCAAAACTATCTAAGCCGCTTAATTCATGCTTCATGACAAGTTTGAGAAAAAGCATCAGGGACATGCAAGTGTGAATGCACAATCCCAAAGAAACATATCGTGTACATAAATATGAATGTTGGGAACCATTTAACAAGAATTAAAAACTGTTCGCTAATCCATGGTCAATCACGTTCTAGAAGTAGAGTCATCAACAATGTACTTTAAAGAATCCACAACTGGCATGCCACAGAACGTTTGTGTAGCAAAGGACAAGAATTTTATATTCCAAATGTTAAAGATTAGAACTGTTGGGGTCAAATAGGAAGGTGCTTCACATAGCATTCCTGAAAAGCAACTAAGGGCAAAACAGAATCATACTATTTCTTGGGGTGAACTGCTTCCACAACAGCTTCAATCTCTTCCTTCACTCTATGAAATACACTCGGTCCCTTAACTTCATCAACCGGTGTCTTATCATCAATGTCATCGCTTGTTCCGTGGGTTTCCTTGTGGTGACGAGGTGATTTCCCAGCATGAAAGACTGCCTCAATCTCTTCTTTAGCTCGTTCAATCAAATCAGGTGATTTCACATGTTTCTTATCTGCATCAGATCAACAACAATGACCCCAAAAACATATAGTCAACAACATTACTTTCTTCGTTCCACCGCATAGCGCAAACCTTAAAGACAACGACAATAAAACCCCCAATACATCATAGTCCTAGGAATATTCGAGGATTTTCGGAATCAGTAACTCGTATGTTAGGTTTGGGTCCAAAAAGAACAAAACTTTTTGTTCAATACAATGCAAAGCTCATTTTCATTTTATCTGGACGGCATGCAATATACAAAAGTCAGAGCTGCCTAGAGGATAGATATAGCATCTCCAAGATTAGATTTTGGGATGGTACTGAATAAATTAAAAAAAGGTTCTGCAAAATAGTATCCTTTACCAGACGGATGTACTGATTTTGTACTTCTTAATCAATAGCACCCCGACCCCATGAATTCAGAATAATGTTAACTCTTACAACAAACCCAAGATTATTTCTTTTTGGCATAATTTTCAGTTATCACATGCGGATTAAAGAATGTTTTGCACAATCATTCGTGAATCACACACACCAAAATGAACAGAAAGGAAAGGAAAAAGAAATGAACTGAGAAAGAGGGAAAGGGTCCCAGAAAGAAAAGCAATAAACTAATAGTATAAAGATGTCCAAAGGTAAAAATGGTCGAAAATTTACCCGGAGACGAGGATGAGAACCCTTTCGTACTGTCTTCTGCCATAGGTATAATTTGAAACTTGTAATCAGGCACTATCCTTTGTTTATTTTCTCTTCTTAATGGCTGATCTATTTTGTGTTTTTCGGAAGCAATTAAAATGGACACTTGGTCGGTGAAGATTACTGGGCCTAAATGGTTTGGGTACACCCAAATCTAATGCTTCAGAAATACATGTGTCCAACCAAAAAGTTAAGGTTGTCAAGAACTGGGCCTAGTTCACTGGTCCTATTATACAAATTAGTTGCTGGCCCTCCCCAGCTTCCTTTTCTTTGTCCTTGTACAATTTAAAAAATAAAAAAAAAGCAAAAATCAATTTAACGTTGAGCGAGCAAATAAAAATAATTAAAGTTAATAAGAAAACCCACCCTTCAAATTTTTTTTTCAAAAAGTAAATAACTCAATTTAATAAAAAAAAGTCTTACTTACTAGAAAAATAGAGTTCTCAGAATAAAAGTAAAGATTTTATTTCCTATTCTATTATAGCAACATGTTTACAACCAATTTGGGGAAAAAAAAAACCAAAAACAATACAGTAGGTTGTTTTTTTTAACTATGGGTAATTAATCACCTTTCTAAAAAAGTCTTAACCCAAATTCGGTTTTAAAAAGTAAATAACTTCTAGAAAAGTAGAGTTCTCGGAACAAAAGTAAAGATTTTATATAGCAACTTGTTGTAAACCAACTTTTTTGTAAATATTTTATTTCCTATTGTGTTATAGCAACTTCTTACTAATTACTCACGTGATGGACTTGTAGGTAATTAATCATCTTTTATTTCAGATTTTGACTAGCAACATTTGATTGATATTTTAAAAAATTTTCAAAAAAAATTAGTTGCCAGCACTGACCTGATTATGGTAGTAATTCGTAAAAATCAGTCATTAAAATTAAATGTGCTTAGAAATTTAAACATTTGAGGCCATATTTATTTTCATCTAAACTTTAATGACCAGTTGGATTCATACTCTAAACATATGGAATTAAAACTGCAGTTCGCTTGAAAAAAAAAAAAAAAAAGTCGCGAATTTTTGTATATATGAAACCGCAGAGTCATATGGCGACTGGTTCAAAAGAACGTGCCAAGCTCGCACCTTGAAGTTCATTGGTAGTAGACGTTTTGCACTGGGGAAAAAAGGGGTTGTTTGCTTCCTGGGTGTTAGTGTTGAATTTCTGTGAATTGCTATTATTCAGGTATGATCGATGAATGATTGCGATACAGTTTTGCCGTTTAATTAGAAAGAAATATTTGAAGAAGATGCCGATCGAAGATATATGTCTTTCTTCAGGAAACGACTTGAACATTTTCCAAGGAAAAACATTTTGTGTCCAAACAAACATTTGACATTCTCTTTAAACTACAAAACTTCGATTCATTCACTTCATTTAATTAAGAACCCTCAACAGTCAAGGATAAAGAGCTTCTTGGACCCAGAATGTTAGGCATGAAACTGTCCAAACCTGTTCAAAAGTTTTTACTCATGCGTTAGATTCGACGATAATTTTTACTCTCATTAGGTTTATGAGTTAGATCTTTTGGTCTAGCAAAACCATAGGTGAAATATGTCCAGAAATTTCGTAAACTGCAGAGGGTTTTATTTGAACACTACTGGGTCAAAAACTGAAACGTCGACGAAATTTTTATACAAGTCAGAAAAGCAACAGTTGGTTCTTAATTCTTGGTTCAATTCAACAAAACCCCTTCAATGGGACGGGTTTCTACTTGAGCAATTCTTATCAAGAATGAAGAACCTTCTCCAGTCCGTATTTTTTGTGTCCCCTGTCATTTACTTTAGTTTGTTTCTCACCTTGTCTCATTACTATATAAAGGACTTCAGCAAGTATGAAAACCTCGTCAAGCTGTTGCATTCAAACCCGGACTTTGTTGGATGAACTTGTTTGGGAATTTTCAGGTAAACAAATAGTGTATGTTTTTCAGTCTTCTTTGCTAGTTTAACATTAATTGCTATTATTATTTTCCGTATGACTTCCCGATGTTCTTGTACTGGATGGAGGAACTGTCAAGATTGACTCTGTGAACTCTCTCCCCTGAAACCCGATTCATTTAGATGATACCTGAGGCCACAAATTTATTGCATGCAATGCTGGTCATGAAAGAACTTGATGCAGCTCTAGCTAGATTGCAGAAAGGCGACAATATTTCCCCAACCAAATGTCGACCGGAAGAAATTGTTGATACAGTGGAGAAGCTACGGTTTGATTCTAAGCCATTATGTTTTGTCACCTATGATAACTTGTTCCCCAAGCATAGCTCATTCATATGGCCACACGGTTATATATGTAGGTGGAGGATCTTAGATGTTACATCTCTTATGCGAAGCTCTGTAACATTCGTCAGCCTTGAGCAACCGGAAACTGCTGTTTCACGTTGGTCACGAGCTAAAATTCGAGTTGCCAAGGTACAAATTTCATGGCTGGTTTTGAATCCTTTTTTCTTGTCAATTAAAATTGACCTCCTGATTTCTTGCGTTTTGTCTCTTGATTAGACGAGAAAAAAAATAGTTGACCCTGAACAATTTTCATGTTTGGCAGTTAGTAAAAGGTTTGTGCGTGGATGAGAAGGCTCAAAAATTAGTTCTCAAGTACTGGCTAGAAGCAGTAAGCAAATTATGAAAATAATCAAATACTGAACTTCAGCTCGAAAACAAATCCTCTTAAGCTGCAAAGCTAATGCCTTTATTTATCCCTTGTCTATTCTTTGCTCCTTAATTTCCCATGCCAGATTGATCCATGCCACCGCTACGGTGGAAATTTACACCTTTATTATGTTGAATGGCTCAAGAGCCAGAGCCCTCAGCCTTTCTTCTACTGGTAAGTAAACCCACAAATTAATATGCTCAAGTTTATGTTCCAGAATTCTGCTCTTCCTAATGCTTTTCTTTGTTTTTGACCGCATAAAATTGAGGAAATATGAAGGCTAGATTTTGGAGATGGTAGAGAAGTCTCACTCGATCAGTGTCCAAGGATTTCTCTGCAAGATCAATGCATCCAATATCTTGGCCCGGTAATTGTCCATCATGAGTGATAAGATGGTGCGAGATAAAATTCAGCCTTACCACGGCAAATTAAGTTGATAATCTCTCTCTATTTTGTTACTTTTCTTGATCAGAAAGAGAGGGAAGCATATGAAGTAATCATAGAGTGTGGGAAGCTTGTGTACATGCGAAGTGGTTGTCCTGTGGACACTCCTGAGGATACTAAATGGATATTTGTTCTGAGCACAAGAAGGAAATTGTACGTAGGAGAGAAGAAAAAAGGCTTGTTTCAGCACTCGAGCTTTTTTGCAGGAGGGGCTACTATTGCCGCTGGACGACTGATTTCTTGTAATGGAACCCTTCAGGTAATTAAGCTTGCATTTATGTGTTAACATGCTACATAATAAACTAAGGATGTTTTCTGATGGGTGACATTATTCTAAGGGCTTTGTTGCTACATTCCAGGCTATATGGTCGTACAGTGGCCATTATCGTCCACCGGAAGAGAATTTCGTGGAGATATTCGCTTCTTAGAGGGACATCATGTGGACTTGAGCCATGTCAAGGTATTTTTATCTTTTTTTTCTCGTTTCAATCTGAATTTAAACACTAAATTTTACATACATACGTGGAATGCATCTAAACTCATTCATGTGTCATTTATCATCATCGGTGTGTAAAAGATAAAATTATCGTATCAATCTCGATCATATGCTATGCTATGTTGTTTGCAGACATTCCCTTTAGATGACGACGTTCCTCCGCCACCGCCACCACCACCACGACGAAACGCTCCTCCAGAAGAGCGGCGAGATTCAGAGACCGTCAGAACTCCTCCACGAAAAAATCCGTCAACCGCCGATAATCCATACGACGCTAACAATCTCTAGAGAGCAGTAACGGAACCATTATTCATCGTCACAAATCTACAAAATTGAAGAAGACTCCTCCTCACGCCATGGGGGCAGGTCGTTAGCAAGCTAAAGTCCCAACTTGTAAACATTTTATTATTATGTCCCATGACTAGTATTAGGTATTTTTTTTTAACTCCAGTAACTTTTCGGCCCAAATCCAGCGAGAGACTAGGACTTTCTTTAGTCGGAAACTTCAATGTTTTAGACAAAAAACTTTTTTTTATTATTAATGTTTGCTGTTCATGGTTAAGATGAATAAATTACTACTAGTTGTATGTTCAAAAACGGATAATAGCAGTAATAAATTTGCTACTTCTATCATTCTATGGTTATGATCGAACAAAAATGGCACTGTAGCCGGCCAAACATTTCAAGGAAAATTTGCGAAGGCATTTTTTTTTTTTTTGGATTAAGAAAAAATAAGCAAATTTAAGAAAGGAAGAAACAAGATTAACACTTATTGCTTCCCAACCCCCCCTCCCCCCCCCAAAAAAAAAAAAAAGATCTACACTATATCCGTTCTCAAGAAGAATGTTTAGATTTGGCTTTCATTCAATATTGCCATTTATCTGCAGTGCATCAGAACAAAAGGAGTAACTTGACAAGAAGTGAAGCTTGGGCGTACTTAAGTTTAGGCATGACAACCTCAAATAAGAAAAAAAAAAAATTAACAGTTTCTAATATTCTTGATTTTTTACCCTAGTAAAGCATGTTAAATACTTAGACAAGATATATAGGTAAGTGAAAAATTGGAGCGAAGCTAACAATAAAGAGTCGGAACGTTTTGGTTGGATTGTCAATTATTTGTAAAATTTTATTTGTTTATATCATCAATACATTTTTTAACTATTTTTTTTATCTCATCTATATCACATAAGAAAAAGCACTTTTCTTCAAAAAAATATGCCAAATAATATCCCAAATGGAAATTGAGCATTAAATTCTTGGATAATGGCCTTTTTGTTTTTTTGGTCTAGCATCATCAACACTCTACCCTACTTTGATGCTATCGGGGAGGGAGAGCTGCACGTAGACCTGGGCAATGGTCATATATGGGGATTGGGGAACTCTTTGATCAATTGAGGAGGATTTTCATAAGACGAACGAACCACAGAAACAGAATGAAGGACAAATACGGGGGCATGTGGTGGATCAT